AGATAATGACAAAAGTTGTACATGTAGCAGGTTGTATACTCTTTATATAATTACAAACTATAAGGAATTGTCAATAGATAACCTTATATTAACTAATAAAATCTACTCAGTATAGTAAGTGAGTATATCTATTTGCATATCAACATATGATGATTAACTAATCAAATAGAGAAATTTTGATTATCTCAGATCAGCTCGATGAAACAAAACAAAGTGAAAAAAGTAAAAACTGCAAAAAATATAGAAAATAGTAGTCTAAACCTATTGTAAAGCATAGGGTTGTTAATAGAGTAGCATACTCCAGAGTAGCTCTGGAGTAAACCCAACTCAAGTTAAAGTGAATTAAAGTTATGACTAAAAATCTGAAGTAAAACTGAAGTAAACCGAAGCAACTACTAAGCAAATCTAGAGTAGCTCTAAAGTAAGCTCAACCCAAGTTGAAGTAGATTAAAGACTAGTTCAATCCAACCCAACCCAACTCAATCCATTAATAACCCTAGTAGAGCATTAATTAAAAATATCAAAAAAGGAATTTTACTTATAAGAACAATTACTCTAACTCTATCTCTAACTCTAACCTTAATATAGATACACAAACTCTAATTCTTAAAAATTGGTTAATATGCAAATAATTGACAATCATATGTTGATACACAAATAAATGCATTTATAGTAAGCTACTTTAATAAAAAAAAAAAAAATTATAATCCTCTAAAAATTTTATTAAATTACTTAATAAATTATGAAATACTAATAAAATTTTTGTAAAAATTTTTTTTATAAAATTAACTATTTTTAACTCATATATAACTTTATGTTTTTTTCTTATAATATACTGCAAAAAAGAATCTTTATTTTTAAATTTTATTTTTTATAATTATTTTTATAATATTTTTACATTTTAAAAAAGTAAATTAGAGCTAAATAAATACAAAAACATAGACAAATTTGCTTGTATTGACCTACAATTTAAGAGATCATTAATAAAGTTAAGGTTTTAGTCAAAGTAAAAAAATTAGTGCAATTAAAATTCTTTTTTAATATATTTTATTAGTATTCGATGATTGTTTAAGCATTAATTTTAAAAATTTCAACACTGTATATCGAATTTTTTGGATTATTATGTGACAAAATCGAATTTTGTAACAATTTTATTGGTTAATGGTCATCAATATGATAAAATCGAATTTTCTGAATGGGGTCTATATGTATAGTCAATGCAAGTATTGCTTTATAACTTATTTATTTGGTCATAAATTTAAGTTCAGCATAAGAAATGAATTCCTTCGGAATTCAATTTCTTATGCGTATCTTAATTAATGACCAAATAAACCAGTTATCAGGCAGTACATAACTGATAACTATTAATTATTCAATAATATTTACAATAATTTAACAAGTAATCATGAATATTATGCACAAATCAATCAATCAATACGTAACAGCAACGCAATTACAATCGAAAACAAATTATGAGCAAATTAGTATTGATAAGGTTATTAAAATGCTATTTATTATACTATTTTCTAAAATTGTTGTTTATCATTTGTATTCGCCGAATTTTTTACAATTAATTAATGGTCTCATGAAACAAGTGGAAAAACACAAACTAGTCTATGAAATATTTCAAACGTTGAACAAATTGGAAAAATTAATGCCAGAAGAAAGACTGTTTAGAAATCAGAGTTCTAAATGGCCAATAATTAACAAATTGTGTTTAACTGCCAAACAAAAGCCAAGTCAAGGTCACTTAAAAATACAACAATGTACAAATCCTAGCGTTTTGTTTCTGTATCACAATATAACGTGTTGTCAGAGAAACAAATATTCCAATATGCTCAGCCCAGTTCAAAGTGCAGATTGGATGACAATAAATGTTCAAAACATTAGGAGAAAATACCATTTCAGGTCGTTTCAAGTAGATACTTTTTAATCCGATGCGTGAAGGATTCAAGCGAATCGTTAGTATTACGAGTATCAATACTATTGCATCGTCATCAGAGCCAACGTTATCAAATATAGGAACAGAATCACCTTCCATACCATCTACTTCATTAGGGTTGAATCTGTCTAATACCAACCAATCACCAACTTCTGGATCTTCTGTGTCGTTACTTACAGATATGCTTAAATGATCTGCATTACAAAAAGAGGGAGATTCGCAAAATAAAGTATCATCGAAAGAGAATAAAAGAAATCGAGAAAATCGGGAATTATTAATAAGCAGACAATGTCTGAATCTGGTAATGAAGGACTTTTATATCAAGTGATAATACACGCTCTATTGTATCACAAAAAGCCAAGAGGAAGAAAGCTTGAGTGACAGTGAGGATGAGGGTTACGATGCAGAAGAGCGCATTATTAGACCAATAATGTTTTTGAAATGGTACTCGAGACTTCCATTCTTTCATTTCTGTAATAGTATACATTATGTAATTTTAGTATAATGATAAGAATGACACAATTATGTTATTTATTTATTTTATTTATTAATTATTATTATTATTATTATTATTACTGATTTATGGCAATAATGTTTTTTTTTACATAATTAAGGAAACTGCCACATCATTTTAATTATTAAGAATAAATAACTTGTAAATATCATATCACTTAGCTGGCTTCTTATATATTTTCAGTCAATATAGTATCCTTTTTACTATCTTCGATTACCCTCCCTTTTTGAGTTTTACTTTCATCACCATCACCAGTGATTCTATCACCACTATTTCCGTTATTATTTTCAACATCATCACTATGCCCAAATATTTTTTGCCTTGCAGCAATATATTCTGCTTCACGATCAGCAAGTGATTTGGTTTGCTTTGAATTTATTGAAAAACTACCAGAATCACTGGTGAAAGTGACATTAGAATTTAGTGTTATCGGTAAATGAGATGGATGTGTAGTCGTTGTAGACCCAGGATTCTTGGGACGTTTTAAAATTCGAAGCTGATTTTTCCAAGAAATTAGTGATTGATCGGTGTTAGGAAGTATAATGCAAAATCGAATAGTTTAATGAATAAAAATAACGGTTTATATTAGATAATGGGAATATACTTGTGGTACGTATTCTGTTCGAGTTGAATCTGTACGGGTAATTTCTGGCTGCAAGTAAGAATTTCTAAAAATTGAAAGTAAAATACAGTTTAAGTTTTATTTGAAATCAAATATTAAAAGAAAATTTGAACATATTTTACGTACGCTTCTTGCCATATTTGTTTATTTTTTTCGTGGTCATCTGTTGTCCCAGCGGGTTTTGGCTCTAACTAAAGAAAAGGGAGGATAATAAAAAATTTGGTACCTCGCATCAAGGACTAAAATTTGTGAATTTATTTGAGTTTAAATAAAGAGTTCTTTCTTACACCAGCGTCGGCAGCAGCCTCCCAATCGTCCCAGGGATCGTCGGCCATTTAAGATCAAGTTTGTTCTGTACGTGTAATTAAAGGTATGCTTAACAGATAACGTACACTCTCCTGACAAAGTCACCGGATTTTCTCTGATCACATGAGGTCTTTGTAGTAGAAAGGGCGGAAACTACCAAATATATAATTTTGAGATAATTGAGTTTGAAGTTTTGATCA